CCAGTAGTACAGAAGCCGTTGACGACTACAAAAAGCAAGGGCGCGGAGAGGAGGACGAGAAGAGCCAAAAAGAACCTATATCTTCCAGCACCGCCATTAACTCCGTCATCCTCGTGCTTAGCCAAATCAGAAACCGATCCTTTATTCAGCGCCATTGACGATGAACAAAAAAACGGAGAGAATAACGCCAAGAATTAAAAATCCAAGAGCATTTCTGTTGAATGGTAGGAGAATTTCGTCGCGAAATCAGGTTAAAGAGAGAGCGAACGTAACAGAAGAAGGGAATCTTTCAGTTAAGTTTCGTCGCTATCGAATAACCTCTCTGTGAAGTGCGACCAGAAACTGAACGCCGGTTCATTTTATACTCTCCTTTTTTTCTTTACTCTCTCTCTTTCTCTCTCTTAAAAATCTCCCGCTCTTTTCCCGGTTCAATAAAAAGCTAAAATAATTATTTTGTGGTTAAATTGTAAAGTTTAATTATATTTTCTAGGCTAATTAAATAAAATGATAATAAAAATACTTCTAAAGACTTTCTAATTTGTTTAAACAAATTCAATAACAACCTTAAATATTAAAAAAAAAAAAAAAAGTTAGTTTTAGATTTCTTGTTTAGAAAATATATTAATTTTAATATGTTTTATTAATATTTTCACCAAAATCATTTCTCTTTTGAGAATTCTAGCGATGAGAATGTTAAGTTTGAAAGTTCGTATTTTTAAAGCATAACCATTTTTTATGGGCTAATAATAAAAATATTTTTTAAATTAGTTAAAAGTTTCATAATAATAATAAGAAGAAATTAAGTTCAAAAACACTATTTAACAAAATATTAATAAATATTCATTCAAAATTAATAATAAGATTTTTTTTTCTTTCTTTACTTTTTTTAAGTTTAAATGCATTTTTAACTCTTTTTTTTATATTTTTTTTTTATTTTAAAAGTATTATTTACATTTTTATTAATTAAACACATTTTCCATATAAGTAACTAAAAAATATTTTTTTAAATTGGTCTCAAAATTGCAGTACCCAAAATGGCAAATTGATATCACATTCATGACGAGGTGTTTAATATGAAGAAATATAAAACAGAATAACATACTCCTCAACTGATTTCACACTCAAGACAGATGACTATTATCATGATTCCACCTAAAAGACACAAACATGTAAACAATTTCCAAACACATTATGGAATTATACATTACAACATTGAAGCCTGGTTCTTTACTAGGAAAAAGGATCACGAGACCTTTTCGGGTCGACAAAATTCCCTATATAATTGCCACGTCCAAGTAATCTCCGATCTGCAGGGAAAAAGTGGTGCAAGTATGAGACGAAATACAGGAAGGGACTGAGATGGCAAAAAGCAAAACCCATGTTTGTTTTACCTGAAAACCAAGTTCTGCCAAAGCTAAGTTATCATCTGATCGTCCATTTCCGAACGAGAATGTCTTCCCAACCTTCACATAAAGAAACAGAATCTGTATTACTTGGAGGCTCGTATAATAGTTCACTTTATTCATACCTTTGTTTATAATCGTAAATTACTTTATGTTCTTTTAAGAAATAGGTCAATCTAATTCGATAAGTGCGTGAAATATAAAGCAGATATACGAGGTATTTGCAGTGAAGGAAAATGCAAACTGGCAGGGCATGAAGAAAGGGTGTTCAGTACAGAAGATTTTGTGTCATTTCATTCAACAATGTAATTAGCGAGTGATCCTTTAAAAGCACTAAATGAAATTAAATGGGCAGCTTATCCATCGCAGTTGCCCATCACAGTCGTGCAAGAATATGCAACGCAGGCACTAGTTAAGCACGTTCGATGTGTTCATACGTGTCCTAGAATCAGAACTACCCACCTTTTCACAAAACTGAGCACTACAAACTTCTTAAGACTATGGGAAAACTCCAGTTTGAAAGTATTGTCACGATCAAACAAGTCGTAGACATAACATCTGTCAACATAATACTCAATAGGGAAATATTTATTTTGTATTTCCTGATTTAGTTTAGTCAAATTCAACACTACAATTTTAAGTTCATTGGATTGATATCTAGACTAGAATAAATAATAACTTCAATCCCCTCCCTCAGTTCAGTTGTCTTTTTTCCTTTGACATTTATGGCATTCTTGTAGTTCAACACATTACTGTTTTTGTAAATAAGCATTTCTTTAGGCTAGGTTTGTTTGCTGTTAGGTCCTTGCTGCTTGAACATGTAAAAGTATTCAAGTTTTTTTCTGGTCAAATTCCAGTAATGTTAAGGCTAGATTTTGAGTACTAAGTGGGACGAATTCTAGGACAATTAATGGGTTTTCGGTAATTTCTAGCAGAGTTTTGGTAATAACTGATGATTTTACCACTAATCAACTTACATCTTCAATTTCATATAATCAAAACTCAACGAAGTAAAAAGGGCAAAAGATCATGAATATTTCCAATGTAACATCCGGAAAACATAAATAAAAGTGTGCATTCAAGTCAGAGTGGAAGAAAGAGAGCACAGAAATGGAGAGAGGTACCTCTCTCACAACAAACCGGCCATGTCTATCTGGATACACTAAAGCGAAAGATAGTTTAGCATTTCTTCTCCTGGCTTCTGGAGCTACCTCTTTGACCTGTGACCCCACCCCGAAAAAAACAATGAACACACAAACTCACAACATAAGTTCAAGGACAGCCGTAAGGGAAATTGTGTGGCGTTAAACAAAAAAAAAACATGAACTCAAAATGATATAGATCATTCGTAATTATGTCATGCGAAGCGTGCAAGGAGAAAAGATTGAAAAGGGATGAGAAACACAACCAGATCAGTTAGCTCGCGAAGAGTAGCATCCTTCCAGGTATATATTTGAACCTCATCCCTCGGCTCCTTGCCCCTCACAGCGAAGTCTTCATTGAAATGATGACTCCCAATCTGCAATTAACGCAAATTTCAATTTCATAATGACTGTTCCTTAATCCAATAAGTGGCATTACTTAGAACCAGGAGAGTAGATCATCAATAAGCTATATAATATGCCTCATAACCTAAATGTAGAAACGCAACACCAGAGAAACCTGCTTTAATTATCCTCTCATACGACGCCTAAATCCTATCGGTCTCCACAATGACATAAACAGATGAATATTTCACACAAAAAATCCGCGTCCAACGAATTTCATTTCATACTTAATGGATTAATCTAGAAAACAAACTTGATTTCGGGTACTTAGTCACTTCCAACTTTGCACAAAAATGTAACACAATTCATAAAAACAAAAGGCCAGCATCAAAATACAACGTACCTTCGTAAAAACACGAAGCAGCAAAGGACAAGTCTGCAAGAAGAGAAGTAAAATGACTCAGTATAGAAAGTCAAAGACGCTATCTATGTTTACATAGCTATCGATGTAAAACAGAATCGTTAGGCCATAATAAGGCAATACTCAAAGTTCCAAATAATCATCATCAGAATAGAGTTCTAGAACGAAGAAACGAGAAACGGATTGAAGATGAAGATGGATTAAAAAACAAGCTAATGAACACCAAAATTAAAACTGACATGATGATGGAACGGACAGAAACCCTAAAAGTAAAAGATGAGAGGGAAAGAAAGAGATACCTTCTCGCGATCGACTGGCTCCAGGCGAGGACGAGGAGGCGCATGAGGGGCTCTGGGAGGAGCGCCATAAGCTCTCCTCGGTGCTTCTGCTTCTCCCGCCATTTCTGTGTCTGTATTGTCTGCTACTTCTGGAAGCTTCTGCAGTTTATAGGCGAGGCCCGGAGGCCGCATCTTGGGCCTCGAGAATCAGGGCTCAATCCAGTTACTGTTAAGTCCATGATGAAAATTTGACAATAATAAAAACAAATTATTACCATTTTTAATTAAACATTAAAAAGTAAATAAATATATATTTTATGATCTAATAATTGTTGGAGCCTCCTCGAAGGTACGAAGGCAGTCAAAAATGACTAAGACTCCAAAGGAGTCGAGCCTCAATTAAGGGGAGGCGTGCTTTGTTCGAGGGGAGGTGTTGGATGATGAAAGTCCCACATCGGTTAATTTAGGGAATGGTCATGGGTTTATAATCTAAGAATACACTCTTCATTGGTATGAGGCCTTTTGGGGAAGCCCAAAGCAAAACATGAGAGCTTACACTCAAAGTGGACAATATCATACTATTGTGGAGAGTCGTGTTCGTCTGATCCTACAAACTACTGAATCTTTTAAACGCAAGGGAATGTCTGCCTAGGTGTCATGCATCGCTGCTCCCACATGCAACACCCATTTGGGTTCGGTCCAAAAGAGGAAATTGGCTCGACGCGACCCACAACTCTCATAAATCTGACCTGAAGTTTGTGCCTTGAACCGAGCGACAATCCCCGTTCCCTAAGCAACGCACGTGCCAAATGCGTGCTCCTTCCTCGATCACGGCTCTTCTCAACTTGTTAGTCGGTGCACTCTTCCGCTTAGTTCCAATGCGACTCAATAGCTTAGAAATAGCTTATTCGACTCGGTATTCAATAGACTGCAATGCCTATAAAAAATGACATCGAAATTTTAAGGGAAAAAAAAAACTAACAAAATTATTGAGTCATTATTTAAATTAATAGGTGGATGATGATATAATTAATCATCTTTAATAATCATTAATAACAAAACTATAATAATATTTTATAACTTTATTAATTTAGTAATGATATATGCATTATTTTGATACAAAATTTTGAGCTATATACATAAAATAAATTAAAAAAATTTGAAAATAAAATAATAATAAAAATAAATAAATAAATAAATAAAAATACTCACTAATTCAAATTTAAATTGTAAATTTAGTCTCGAAAATTAAAAATTAAACCGTTAAATATTTACAATATTCTTATTATTAATGATAATGTGAAAATGTATTAGTAGGGAAAACAAAGGCTCTTTTTCCTTGAGAAATTATTATGAAGTTTGGATATAATTTTATAAGAACAAAAAAAAAAAAAAAAATAATGGAGTCACTTCGATCTCGGCTTTGGTGGCCCGATGAACAAATCCGTTTCAACGTCGAAAGTCGAGCTGGTTTCGAGATACGGTGAAACTTCTCGTACTTGAGTCAGTGATTGACGAGGCTCGAGTTGAACCAAATACTGAATCAGAAAATGCATTTCACTTCATCTGTCTTATAACCCTAAAATCCGTTATTAAATATTCGAATATAGCAATAAATAAGATATATACCGTCATCTCGAGCTCAAAAAAAAAAAAAAAAACAGTAAACAACTCACCTTTTTAGCTAGCTTTTCATTTTCAGCTGCCAAATATTTCTCCTGTTTTTTTAAAATAAAAAAATTAGGGAAAAAATCATAATCCATTGGAAGTTGAAGCTTTCATTTACTAACCTTTTCTTTCAGTTGATCAATCTGTTCCTTGTAAGCCTCATGCTGAAATCAAAAAATGAAAATAGAGTGATTTTTTAGTACAAATCCACCTTAATCAATCTTATCGAGCAACCGATCCTACTATACAACTCTTTTAAACTATACGATTCATCGGTTTTAATGAGCACGGGATTCAAATGTTCGGAACATCAAAATAAGGTATAGGATTTGAGTTTATATAATCTAAGTTACTACAATATTTGAAACGAGACAAAAAGAAGACCATGTTTCCGAATGCTTCCACTCCCTTTGTTCTATGAATCCTGACTGACTCCACATTAGCCCCAAGACGAGTAAATGCTTGAGCTTAAGAGATATAAAGCGAGTGCACTAGAAAAGAACATAATGTTGATCACGATGGATGATCGGGAGATATGAAGGCTTCATTGGCGGGAGGAACTGTAATTGATTAAACCATACAACAATGGACCAAGCTGAAGTATGGGGTAAGGGCACGGAAAATTTTCGATAGACCCATATGGGAGGAAACATGAATTGAATGATTTTCATATACGGGTGAGAGACAGCTGCACAACAATTTGTTGTGAAGGTACAAATCGAAGATCTTCTCGGGACGACCCATGAATCTCGAGAATCGAACGTCGTGGGTTAATTAAAAAAAATGCTGAAAACATATAGTTTAGATTTAGAACCTTTGTAGCGCGAACATGGGCTAAGCTGCTTTGTAGCTGCTGTTCTATTTGTTGAAGTTCTTCATAAGAGCTTGATCCCAAACCTTGTCCCAACAATTTCCTAGTAGATTAAAAGTCAAAATTTGTAAGTCAAAGTCAAACAGCCAAAGTCAAACCAATGAGATAATAGTAGCTTCTTATTCTCCTCTACCTCTTTGAATCTTCAAGTGACTCTATCTCCTTCAACAAATTTGCAGCCTAAACCAAACAGAAAATAAAATATAAAGCTCCCATTTTAATTATTAACCAATTTTTTTAAATATTTATACATTTTAAAAATTAATAAAAATATCCTTTCAAAAATACTTTAAACTTTCAAAAGTTTCAATAATACCCTTAAACTTTTAAAAAAAAATTAAAAAATACCCTTAAAACTAAAAAAAAAAATTAAATTTTTTTTTTTATCAAAATTTTATTATTGAATTTTATTTTTTAAAATTTTCAAAGGTATTTTTGAACTCAAATATTAATGATTTCCATAAAAAAAACTAACTACGAAGATCTTTTTAAAATTATTTTGAAAGATTAAAGGTATTATTGAAATTTTAAAAATATTTTTTAAGATAAATTACAAATTTTAGAGATATTTTTGTTAATTAGTGTTTATAATTTTCAAAAACCAAATAGTTATCCAAAGGGACTACACTAAGAGCGGCATATAAAATGAAATCAGGTTCAAATAAGTGTTGACCTAAGTCCCGGTGTTCGGGCTCGACTCTCGAACAGTACGTGAGCTGCCTCGTACAGATCAAACTCACATTCCTAAGAATCTAAACTACTCTCGACTAAAATATCAGAAATTCGAATCTCCATCTCACGTAAATTTCACGATTATAGAATTCTAAACCTTAATTGTTTTCTACGTACCTATTTCTATCAATATTTTCATTAAAATCGAGACCTCGACGTTCAAAATCAACATTTTAAAACGAGAACAAACCTGATCAGCTTGATCATGGTGATGAGGTAAAGAACGTTCAAGATGATGGGTTACCCTTGTGTGCCTTTGAAATCGCTCCACTGTGGCCTGCATGCTGAAGCATAAGAAATTACGTAATTATTAAATTAATTTAAAAATAAAATTAAAAACATGACGAACTTATAATAAAAACTAAATTTCATATAATTAATTTTAAAATAAAGATAAACGTGACATAAACATGCACAGATCATAAAATAAAACCATAACTTTTAACCAAACCATACATAGACTACCAACATTATCCAATATTTTCAGCATATTATAAAATATAGATAGTGATATAAATGAAGGTGACTCGACACCAACTGACATTATAATATATGTTTAATTAAAATTTAAACCTTATGAGATTAATTAATTAATATTCTTTTTTTTTAATTATTTTTAATAACTAAAATCTCATAAAATTCAAATATAAAATATTTATCATCGGTTACAAACATCAAATATTCTTAATTTTCATAGCAATCTTTAAAACAAAGTCGAGTCGGGTTAAGAGTTCTATTATTGGATTGGTCGGGTCAGCTCCTACCTATGAACCAAACCGAATTTTCAATCTTCAAAAAATCCAACCCGATCTAAACGAACAAACAAAAAAAGAATTTAAATCAACTCAACATGTACGTTTAGAGTTGGTAGTGTAGATTATTTGGGTCATTAGGTCATATGAACACTCATTTGTTCGAGTAATCAAGTCATATGAACAATGCTATGTTCGGATCATCAAGTCATATGAACAATCCTAGGTTCAGATCATCAGGACATATGAACACTCCTTTGTTCAGGTCATATGAACACTCCTATGTTCGGGTCATATGAACAATCCTACCAAACATATTTGGTTAACTAAAACCCCGGCTCTCGACCTTTCTCTAATCTCCGCCACGAAAACCTTAGTCCATTTGTAGATGATTAAGATTAAGATTAAGATTAATATAATCTAAATGATTAAAATTTATGAGAAATAGTGAAAAAATAGACCCTTATTTCAGTACTTGCATGGTACAAATTGGGTCCAAATACGGTCCCTCATAGCTCATACCAAACCAGACCAAACATTTTGGTAAATATCAGTAAAATGAGGGGGGGAAATGTAAATAATGCATAATACCGGACCTTGAGCTAGCAAATTCACAAAGCTTCCCAGTAGAAGAGAAAATGATGAGGGCCACTTCAGCTTCACAGAGCACTGAGAGCTCAAAGGCCTTCTTAAGCAACCCATTGCGGCGCTTCGAAAACGTGACTTGGCGATTCGTGGCGTTTTCGATCCGCCGCATCTGAGTTTTTCCTCTCACCATTGTTCTGAACCAGAAAAGAAGGTTAAAAAACGAGAATCCGATGAAACCAGACAAGAAAATGGAGGGAGAAATCTCACCGGAGTGTGGTGGTTACCGGAGATAAGATTGTGTTTGGATGAAGCCGAAACGTAAACTGGAATTAATGGAAAACTGGAAGAGTTTTGGGGTTTGAGTTGAAGCCAAACAAGGCATGACCCATCAAACCCTAGCTGGGGAGAGCTTAAGGGGAGAGAGAGCAAAATAAGGAAAAGTTGGGGTCGAATCTGAAAACCCCAAACAGAAAAGGGGGAATTTATTAAAATATAATTTTTAAAAATAAAATAAAATAGATGTGTTTTCACTGCCACCACCAAAAACGGGGCATAGCCGACCCACGTTTCCACAATTCATTAATTTATATATATATATATATATATATATATATATATATTTCCTTTTATTTTCTTTTTGTGAGATACTAAATTTGTGGGAGACAGAACAAAACATTTTTTATAATATAATATCATAGTTCCAAGGGTTTGTGGATTACGGGATCTCACGTAGATTGGAGATAATAATGACATTTCTTATAAAAGTATGTAAAGTAGATATGTTTTAAAATTTTGAAGGGAAGCTCGAAAGGGAAAGTAAAAAAGGACAGTATCTTATAGAGTAGGGGTATGACCTTGGTTAGATTTTTTTCCAATTTAGGTTCGGTTGAGTTTTTAGAAAATTTACAATTTGGGTCGGTTTACTGGTTGACATTTTTTTAGTTAGGTGTCGGGCCAATCTTAAAATAGAGTTTCAATCCTATTATTAAAATTATTTTAAAAATTATTGATCGTTAATCCAACCAATTTCAAATTTGAAGGTAATGTTTTTTTTTTTTAATTAAAAAATTTAGATTTTTATTGTTAGAAAAAGAATATAATTTATTTCTTGATTGGGTAAAAATAATTTTTAAAATGGAAAAAAGACTAAAAAGTTGGGAAATAAAGTCAAGTAAGAGAGAGAAAACATCAGATTTCATGAACAGAAGAGAGAGAAATAATATTTTAAAAAACAAATAAAGTATTTAACGCGTCATCATAGTCCGTACAGATCGTACAATGGAGAGCCAATCAGAATCGAAGAGGCAGAAAAGAGTTCGCCGTCGTTGTCAGTTCCCGGTAAAATTATTCGCTTCAATTGCGCGTGGTGTACACGAGCGAAAAATAAAGGTGAAATTTTGGAGCGTGTTGTCACTTTCATGAATGGCGATTGGGAGATATTTTTTTGAAGAATATTTATATTCAGATAATGAAAACCCTTTCTTTTTTTGGCAAGCGCTCAAATAGTTAATTTAGGACTTAAATTTTATTTTAAAAAATCTCATTCAACTTTTAAAATTATAAATTTAATTTTTTTATTATTAAAACTTTTTTATTTTATAGATTTACTTAAAAGGTCACTCTAATAATCTATCAACTTCTCCATTTTAAGTACTTATAGGTTAAGGTAGCTAAAACCCTCGAAGGTTCAACCAAAGACCAATCCCGAAGGCTTGGTTGGTCTATAGGCTAACACGATCAATCTAACAAAATAGTTATCGTCACCATTTACAACTGGCCTTAAGCTTTACAGAATTAACCCAAATAAGTCAGAGGCCAGCTTGTTCATAAGAAGTCGTGTTCGTCGATATGATAATAGAAACCACTGAATCGCCACACACCCAAAGAGTCATTGGAATTTTAGAAGAATACTGATAACGTGGTAATAATATTCGATACATATCTCCATATCGTTAAAAATTACTCGCAAATTCTTTTATCCAGTGAAGTTTTGTTTCACATAATCCAAAAAAATAAAGAAGGATAAAAAAGTAAATATTTGGAAGGACATAAAAAAGTATCATTAGTAGGCTTTTTAACTTTAGACTAAAAAAGTAATTAATTATTCAATAATAGTTTGAAAAGTCATCCTAATTTTTTTTTTTTTTTTTTCATTTATAGAACCACAAAAGTAATTATTCAATAATAGTTTGAAAAATGGATGAAAAATCGAAATACAATAGGCCCGGCCGTAGAGGAAGAAAACTCTAGCAGCTGACATGGAAACAAATCATATGGGATAGAAGAGCCGTTGGGATCTTAAATAAATAATAATAATAAATAAATAAGAATTATAAGATTTGTCAAAAATAATAAAAAATAATAAAAATTATGGGATAGGGAAGAGAGAGAGGGGGGGCCCACCATCCCATTGCTACTTTTCCGAATTTGCTAATTGCCCCCTCCGACTTTCTTTTTATTTAGCTAAATTAAAAATATTTCTAAACATGCAAAAAGTTTGAATAATATTTCTAAGCTTTAATATATATATATATATATATATATTTATTTATTTATTTATTTATTGATAAAAATTTTCTTTTGTTTTTTTTTTTATACTATTTTGAAATTCCATCGCTAACCCTTTTCGTAAAATTTAAATTTTTTTGGCTCAATATTAAAAATCAGGTAATACCTCATTGAGACTCGGGTATTACAAAAATAGAGGTTTAGCGTGCATAATCTTGGTGGCTAATTACTCGATCCAATAGCGTGTAATTACCACAATGCCATTTATCAATTAATTACCCAATATCGAGCATTTTTACATGCCCTCAATTTTTTAATGTGCTTCAATAGAGAACAAAATGCTACTAAACTCCATCTCAAAGGTCAAAATTGTAATTTTAATATTAAAAGTCAACCCGACCCTTAATTATAAATTTACGGGCCTTAGCAAATGCATGGAAGGAAGCAGGTGCTCCATTGTTGGTACCAGAAGGAGTTTATCAATTAAGTCACTCCACTCTCATTGGCCCGTGCAAGAGTTCACGTCATAGGGACATTACAAGCTCCTCCCCATCCACATGGAGATGAGTTGCTTGTTTTTCAATATGTCGATCAATTAACAGTGTCAGGCACGAGAGTTTTTGATGGTCAAGGAAAAACTGGTTGGGAAAAGAACGATTGTCACTTAAAGAAAACTTTATGTTCGATTCTTCTTTTGGTCTCGTGTCATACATAATTTAAACTTAATATCTCAATTAACGTGTTTTTTTATTGATCAAAATTTGAAGTTCAATTTCATCACCAATTCACTGGTGAAGGATATAACGTCGTTGGATAGTAAGAATTTCCATATCAATCTTTTGGGTTGCCATAATCTTACCTTTCAACACGTGACAATTACTACACCAGATCACAGCCCAATGATGCTCCATGAATGATGCCTAATGATGCTCCATGAATGACTGATCAAATCTAAATGTGCAAATGTGAAACGCACAGTGACTGGAACGCAAAGCCCTAAGATATGTGCCTAATGATGCTCCATGAATGACTGATCAAATCTAAATGTGCAAATGTGAAACGCACAGTGACTGGAACGCAAAGCCCTAAGATATGTGCCTAATGATGCTCCATGAATGACTGATCAAATCTAAATGTGCAAATGTGAAACGCACAGTGACTGGAACGCAAAGCCCTAAGATATGTGCCTAATGATGCTCCATGAATGACTGATCAAATCTAAATGTGCAAATGTGAAACGCACAGTGACTGGAACGCAAAGCCCTAAGATATGTGCCTAATGATGCTCCATGAATGACTGATCAAATCTAAATGTGCAAATGTGAAACGCACAGTGACTGGAACACAAAGCCCTAAGATATGTGCCTAATGATGCTCCATGAAGGACTGATTAAATCTAAATGTGCAAATGTGAAACGCACCGTGACTGGAACGCAAAGCCCTAAGAAAGTTTGGAGTGTTACCTAACAAATTCACAAACAGATTTCATGGGATTCGACTACGGTGCCACAAATTCACAAACGGATCCTAAGTAATTGTTGTTGTTCATTGAATTAACGGATCTCATGAGATCTATGGGGGAATCAAAATTTTTGTAATTTGGTTTGCAAAAGGAACTAATCCAATAGCTTATTCAAGTTTTTGTCTGAAAAAAAAACAGCCCATTCAAGTTGAAAGTTAAATTATCAACATTGAACAGAAGTAGCTGATGCAATCCCCATGACAAATAATATACAAAAACAAGAAATAATTTATTTTTCCAAAAAACTAACAAACTCAGAGTTAATTGGATTCATAGAAGGTCCAATGAGTGAGAAGTGAAGAACATCAGTACACTGAACAGTGATAGATGAACAGAAAAAACAGAGAAACAAACAAACAAATAGTTTAAAATTAAAAATCTAAGAAAAATAAAATAAAATAAGATTGGTCTAAATTCTTATCCAAATCTTGACCTGTTTGGGAAAAAAAAAACTAGTTTAAATCAATTACTATAAATGGATGCAGGGAATTAATAGAACAAATACTTCCAATCATGCAAGTCAATGACATTAACTGTTGTGCTGCAACCCTGTAGCCCTATCCTCCTCTTCATTTCAAATATATACCACAAACAACAAAAGTTCTAAGCTCAACTTTGTACCTAATGTACGAGTCCGACCCTACACAACTTTTAAATTTAAATACTATGATGGCAGTAATTGTACGTATGAGTGATGCAGAATTTTCACCATTGTTAAAAAGAATTAATTTGAATACTATGAAAGGTTTGAATCTTCAACTAAAAAATAATTCCAGGTGACTTTTTTTTCTTTTTTTTTTCGAATCGAAAAGAGGCAAGCTTTTAACCGCTAACCCGTTTAAAATGAATGAACAGATCCAATATAATATCAACATCCAAACAAATTCATGACAGATTATGAGTGAGATATAGTACCTGTTGTTTGGAATGTGGTGGGGAAAAATCTGAATATCCACAAGACAATGGCCTGAAGAAGTTGAGCAGATTTTACAATCAGCAAACAGCAAACAGCAAACTTGTTTGGATTATGTGAACATTACAAGAACTCATATCAAAATACAATGGGAGTAGTTGTAGGAGTGGATAATTTCACAGGGGATAATGTGGTAAAATATGTTAAACCCACCACCAATATTAAAGGAAACAGCCCAACCTCTCCTACTATAGGTTCCTCTTAATCAAACAACGAGGGAGGTGACAATAATGAACAAACAAGACATGGGGAACTCATTCATCAAACAATGTTAGACACACTTATGTTATTTCCAACTACGAGCACGGTAGCAAACACTGCGAAAAAAGTGCAATCAACAGCGGGTTCCTTCTTAGGCAGCCAAGCAAATCATTCTTGCTAATCTTCCCATCGCCATCGGTATCAAATAGTTTAAAGAGCTCACGAGCCTGCAATCACTCA